GCTGAGCAAGGAGCCCGATGCGGGACTCGATCCTGGGACTCCAGGATCATGACCTGAGCCGAAGGTAGTCGCTTAACCAACTGAGCCACCCAGGCGCCCCGATCATGATGTTCTATATGTCATAGCCTCCAAGCCCCCAGAATCAAGCCTTTCAACAAACCGTACTTCTCAGAGACTAGTTTGAAGGTATTGTTAACTTATTAAATTGCCCTAAAATGTTTCAGTCTTGCTAGAGTGTTCTTGGGCAATACATGGGTTCATGAAGGAAGTTGCTCTTAAAGATGGCAGAGTCTGGAAAAAGCACAGGCAATTTTAGTAAGTGAGAGAGAGGCTCCCCCTAAACTGGTGTGCCCCACTGTTCACCGCCATTAGTCTCCACTGGAATTTGAAGGTAACAAAGCGGATCGCTTGACTCTGCTTCCCAGTGGAATACTCAGCTGAGAGACTTGAGACAAGTGAAATGCACTATAAAACTATAATTTTACACATGTACATTACATGAAACAGTCTTCAAAACTTTAAAATGTATGTGCAAAATTTATATGACGTCTTGCTTTCATCTTGACTGACAGAGAACTCAGGCCATCTTTGCTAGGAAATGTTTTAGAACTGTATACAGTTCACTGTGGAATGCAGTAAAACCTCCCTCTTATGCTGGTATTCAGAAGCAGGATTGAAAACCTCCTCGTAGACAACTTGGATTTGAGGGATGTCATTTAATCTATGGCATGAGCAAATTGTATCACAATAAACCAAGTTATCACTGACTTCCACTCCACTTGTTTGAAAACGTTATGTCTGAGGTCATCAAGAATTAAAGTACTCCATTGAGATTTTTCCAGATAGTGACTGCCCTACCTAATCTATCTGAGTGTGTCAGCATTTTGAATTTGCAGATGGTGATGAATCAATAACACTGACTTTTTACCGATGTGCATCATAAACTTAAAGCCGGTGAAAGAAAGCTGTGATTATTTTAATTTAGGTGAATAAATATTCCCAACTATCAGCTGGATTTTAGCAGTTGACATTTTTCTACTTCTGCTCTACACTAGTATAAAATGAATGGCAATTAAAAAATATATTACCTCTTTTGAACAGATAGACTCAAATAGAAAATTGATAAATGTTTGGAAATAGCATAAAGTCATTTGGTTTATGATTAAGTAATTTATTTGTTTATTTTTTAAATCTAGCATGAGCCCAGTGAGCATTTCCTCTTTTGATCCATAAAGTAACCATGCAAGCTCTCTTTCTGACATGTGCTCTGTATAAAGTATTGACAGCTTCAGTTAAATAATCAAAACTGGCGATGCTATTTTTAAAGCACTGTTCAATTTTCACTTAAAGATAGCACATAATTCTTTCCAGTGGTGCAGTCTTTACAATACTATTGATCCTCTTCATTACTGTAGGGGATCCATCAACAGACACCCATTTATAGGATTCTCAGAAGCAACAAATAATAGGATTTGGAAGACACAGATAATAATTCTGTTAGTAGTTGAAACCTCCAGATATACAATATATCTGAACATACAGTGAAAAAGGCTATGAAGGCCAGAACACTAAAAAGGCTGGAACACCTTTCCTTACATTAGCAAGAGAATTTCATCAGATATTAACAGTCAGAGACCATTTCTACTTCTGCAAAGTGCGATCATGATACAGCAAAGTATGATTAAATATAGAATCTGTCTTCTCAACACATTAGAGAAAGAAGGGATGTAACTCTGGAAGGCACATTACAAAACCTTCCTAGGCTATGCTCATAGCCATATGGTATGCAGACAAGAGTACTTGTCATTTAAACACCAAATTATCTACAGACACTACTTGATAATTAGGGAGCTAAGACAATTCCATTTCCACCCTAATTGAATACCCCACGGTGGCATGGGGCTTCTGGGGATCCCAAGTATGCCCATTTTGATATCACTTCCATACTGCTGTGTAGTGTAACACCCCCAGGAAGATTTGCTGAAAAGACACAACACAAGAGAACAGATTGTGTCTTTAATCAAAATAATTTTAACCTTCTAGCTCCAGACTTCAACAGAACTACAATCTTGAGTCCTTTCACACTCTTTGGTTAAAAAACCAAAAATTAAAGTTCCATTTGGTGAGCAAAAACTCATCCAAAGAGAAGAGAATGTCACAGAGACCTCCCCAAGTACAGAGGACCATAGTCAAGAGAGCTCAAGAGAGAGAATGCTTAGTACTATTGTGTTTCTTTCTGGGTAATACAGACCACAACCTTCTGACGGGAAGACCAGACAAAAAATCATTCTGTGATCTAATGGGTTGTTTTTCTCCAAGGCTCTACTAGTAGAGTATTACTTATAATCAAGTAATCTGGGCTATAGACTTTTGCCTGATTCAAATTTATCCTAAGTGGCTTAATTGACTACAAGGAAAATTGCTTCTCTTGCTCCTCTTCTGACTTCTTTCTCCATCTCACCCTCCTCCTCCACCTCTCTGCAGGCTGAGGTAGGCAGCATGGAGGAGAAGGAATGAACTTAGGTGCTGGAATCAGAGCATCCTGGGTGGAGTCTCTGCTTTTCCACTTAACACCAGGTGATCCGTGATTGTGGGCAAGTTATTTAAATTAGCTGAGTCTCGGGGCACCTGGGTGGCTCAGTTGGTTAAGTATCACCCTCCAGCTCAGGTTAGGATCCTAGGATCCTGAGACTGAGTGCTGCCTCGGGCTCCCTGCTCAGTGGAGAGTCTGCTTCTCCCTCTTCTTCCCCCTCTGCCTCTCACCCTGCTCATGCTCTCTCTCTCAAATAAATAAATAAAATCTTTAATAATAATAATAATAAATCAGCTGAGTCTCAGTTATTCATATATAAAATGGAACTAATAATGATGCCTGCTTCATATTTGCGTATTATAAGAGAAAATCATATAAAGAGCCTAGCCAAATGCCCAGCTCCTATGGAGAGTTCAGTAATGTTAGATGTTGCTATCCTTATGATAATAAAGCTTCAACTTCTATCCCTTCCATTTCCATGGGATTGAGCCCAGTTCTTGCTGGAATACTGTTTTAAATAAAACATAGTTGTTTTCATTAATGTTTTATCTCCTTTATCTGTCTTGTTCACATAATACGTATGACATACCTGGCCAATTGACCAAACAAGTGCATTTCATGTATGTTAATGAGGAAACAATTAAACCTTTATAGGTTATAACATTTAGAAACTCAGCAAAGCTCCAAACAGTTAAAGTTTTCAAGACTATAACTCATTATGGTCTTGAAACTATATTTTAAAAAAAAGCATTTGAAAAATCAATAAGTATGGGGCGCCTGGGTGGCTCAGTCATTAAGCGTCTGCCTTCGGCTCAGGTCATGATCCCAGGGTCCTGGGATCAAGCCCTGCATCGGGCTCCCTGCTCAGCGGGAAGCCTGCTTCTCCCTCTCCCACTCCCCCCTGCTTGTGTTCCCTCTCTCGCTGTGTCTCTCTCTGTCAAATAAATAAAATCTTTAAAAAAAAAAAAGAAAAATCAATAAGTATGGGGCGCCTGGGTGGCTCAGTCATTAAGCGTCTGCCTTCGGCTCAGGTCATGATCCCAGGGTCCTGGGATCAAGCCCCGCATCGGGCTCCCTGCTCAGTGGGGAGTCTGCTTCTCCCTCCGCCCCTCACCCCGCTTGTGCTCTCTCTCTCGCTCTCTCTCAAATAAATAAATAAAACCCTTAAACACATAACGCTCTAAAAAAGAAACAAAACAACACCAAGATTCAATTACAAATATTCAGAGATTCTTTTGCCTTCAAAAACCAGCAAAATGATAATTTCAGAATTTCTCAAAGTAAGACTATACTTTTAAACATACCTTTGGTCCCAGGGGTTAGTGGTTTCTTCACATCATATATATATATATGTATGTATATATATGTGTGTATATATATATATATCACTTAAAACTTCTAATCTGTCCTAATAATTAGAAGATAACCAAACGAACAGACCATTTGAATATACCTAAGAAGTACAAGTAAGTTAATACAATAAGAAGGAATCTAGAAAGCGAGCCATATTAAATGTTGCTATGTCTTGGGCCCTACAGATGCTAGAACAGCTGGGTCAGCTGGTCATAGATCACCTGGAAATCCAACGCTGGCTCTTTAAAATGGACTATGAGATTGGAGGAAACGGGACTGCATTTTGTGACATTCCTTCCCACCTACAGTGCTACAAGTGGTTCCTACAGGAGAGGGGCAGATACGGCCACGAGAACTGGAGGAAGAAATGGGCACAAGTGAGTTCAGTGTTGACATAGCCCGTGGTGTCTGTTCGCAGTTAGCAGATGATGAAAAAGGCTCAGCTGGGCAGTGAAAGCACTTCCTTCTAGACTCAGCTGCATCACCTGTCAGCAGTGAGCTCTTAGGCCAGTCATTTTGACTTTCTTGGGCCTCAGTCCTCATATACAAAGTGAATGGGCTTGATCAAGTTACTTTAATATTATTTCTAATATATTTTAAAAATTTTCTTAAATTTGAGTAGAGTTGACGCACAATGTTACATTAGTTTCAGGTGTACAAACAGTGATTCGACAGCTCTATGCATTAGACGGTACTCACCACAAGCGTAGCCACCATCTGTCACCATACAGCACTATGACAATACCATTGGCTACATTCCCTGTGCTGTCACTTTCATCCCCATGACTTATTCATTCCAGTTATATTCATAACTGGAAGCCTGTATGATTAGGTTATTTTAAATGTCCCTTCTTTGGGCCCTAAAAGTCTTCAGTCACATCTTCAAGTTGATTATGATAATTAGGAAGTAATTTTTTTTACCATATTCAAATAGCATTACAAATCTCATCTTTTGATCTAAGTGAGTCTCGATCATGTGCTTCTAACAACTGTTGTTATTAAGCTGGCTGTGTTTTATTATGAGAGACAAATTCTAGTAGTGAATGGTTGTCACCTGGAAGCTAATGTATAAAAGCATTCTGTCAGCAGTCATATGTTTTTGAAGACAGTTCAAGGAAATTTATGTAACCGCTGGTCCCTATGAGATGTTGAGAAAATAATACATCTCAGCCAGAAAATCTCCCAGCAAAAGCTAAATAATAGGAAAGAAGCCTTAACACATGAGTGGATGTATATAGGTTTTTCCACGTATACTGGTGGAAGGATGAATTGTACAACTTCTTAGTCTGTTCTAAACTTGCTTAATAATTAAAGTAATTTTAATGGCTTCATATATCAGTTAAACCCACCATTCTTAAAGCTGCCTCACTTTTCATCCAGAGGCCTAGACCTTCCTGGCTTCTCTGAATGTCAAATCTCTATTTTGGCTGACGTAATAATGAAAGCATAACTGATAGGAAAATGTGGGTGCAAATTCCCTTAACTGATTCCTTCCCTGCCAACATACATAGCGGTGGGCTGGGCAGTAAGTTGCATCTGCTTTGAGCATCCCACTACAACAGTATATGAATCAAGACACAAGTGATGGAAAGGGAGGGGCGCACAAGAGAGAACCACATTATTCTTGTGGAAATGAAATGATGAATAAATCTAGAGAACAGTCAGAAGAGAGAGTTCCCTTTGATAAATGTTACTGTTCTCCCCATGATCTATTCCGGGCTTTTCTTCCCCCTCCTTCAGTGAATGGACTAAACGCACTACCTGTCATGGCCAGATTTTTACATATTATTTAAAGGATACCAAAGTGAATTACTCTTCTAGAAAAAAAAATAAAACAAGGAAAGTGTATTTAATTCTGAGGCCCATAGAGATTTCTCTTGTGTTCTCGTTAAACTGGATTTTATTTCATATTGTATATTTATTTCAATTTTCTTTTTAAAGCAAAACAGCTGAGATTAAACCATGAAAATAAGACTTTTTTATTTAAAAAAAATCAAAATGTTCGTGTGTGAGGTATTTTTCTTAATATTTCAAGCTAATCATTTTTAAATAATTCCCTGGTACTAGACTATGATAAACTTAAAATGTTTGACTTTTAGGTTTAAAAAATGGTTAGAATAATAACATGTGGCTGAATTGCACTTAAAAGCCTGACTACACGTTATTTAATTTCAATTACTTTCAACTACACCGTTTAAAATTGTCACCAAATACATTTGGCGTTAGTGTTAATATTATTAAATGTGAAACTCTTGAATAATTAATTATCTACATCATTTTTTTAACTTAACAAGGAAAAAATAATTATTCAGAAATCTTTTTAATACTGTGAGGGACTGTGCTTAGCCAGGATGTAGTTAGAAGCCAAAAATAAAAACGAAAAGTAAAGTGGTTCCGAAGAGCTTTTTTTTTTGTAGGAGACTATTGACATTCTTTTGCCTTCAAAGTGAAATTGTATTCAGAATAGAAGTGAACTGCCATCTCCACTGAGTGCAGCTATTGAGAATTTAGGATTGGAATTATCCTTTGTTCCAGAAGACCATGGTAATGGTGCACATTTAGACATCAAAGCATTACTTTATGAGCACAGGCATGTTTTAATGTCCTATTACAGTTTGTAGACCTGTTTCTTTTGATAATGAAGATGTTGTGTCATCAAGCCTAGCCTGGCACATACAAAACATATGCTGGCAGGTTATTAAAAATTTCAGCTTCTTGATGAAAGACTATCCTGCAGGCTAAGAGTCCAGAGAAAGACTCCATTCTGGGAGAATTATTAGACATGAGAATATGACTGTAAGCACTAAATTATGTTAATACTTAAAAATAGCATCATTTGCATAGCACTTTATGACACGATACCATGATTTTTCTCATTGGTATGTTGTAGGCAACAGATTAAAAACAGTGCTGTTTATGGGAGTTTGAACTGTTTTGAGATTCTCTTGCATCTTATGCAGATATTGGTTTTAGATGTAGGCATGATTCAGTGTAGACTCAAGGATCTAATACAAAGATCATCTTTTTTTTTCTACTTATCTAATTTAGAGCCAGAGTTATTTGACTGTTTGCAATTGAGACTCGAAACAAAGTTGTGGAGTCAACAAATGCTGGAAAAGCTGTAGTCACATTTAAAAAAAAAAAATCAGTATAGACATGTAAGTGATCTTAGGAAAAGCGTAATGTTACATGATGGCCACAGCGGCAAAAGAGCACAACTCTCGTTTTGTTTTCATGGTGGTTTGGTACCAACCTTTCTCTCTCCATCCTGTCAACTGACAAAACCTACTTCCCCCAACAGGTCCCCGTAAACTTCACTTACTTAACTACTGAATGCTTGTTAAGGTTTAACGAATCCACACACTTGCCATTTTGCACACACTCCAAACACCCCACTCCCCAGTGGGGGCTATTTCTTTTTTCTTAGTAGGAATAAAGGCTTAAACAAAGGGCACGCTTGTAGGGGAAAAGCCTTCCTGGCCACTCTCACCCAGGACAGGGTAGGGAGACCCAGGTAGACATTTGCTGCGGTACCCATCCTTCTTGTGGTTCTTTTTCTTTCTTTCCTTTTTTAAAGGGTACATCTTCCCTCCCTCACTCCTGGGAGACTGGCCTGGTGGCAGAGATGCCACTGGCCATGCTGCTTTGCAAGAAAAGGTCTTTCCAGAACAGTTTCTCCATGTAAAGAGCTAAGCCAGTTTAATTTTGGATTTCTCTGTGCAGCCCTTCTTTTGGCCTCTGTTTCCCTGGATGGACAGTATAGGATGCCAAGGGCTTACTTAGGAGAGAAGGGAGGAAAAGGAAATTGAACTGCCTCTTGAATGCTACTACAAAATATTGCTATTTTAGCCCATCCAAGAGCAGTTTTATTTTATTTATTTATTTGAGAGAGAGAGAGAGACCACAAGCAGGGAAGAGGGGCAAAGGGAGAGGGAGAAGCAGGCTTCCCACAGAGCAGGGAGCCCGATGTGGGACTCGATCCCAGGACCCTGGGATCATGACCTGAGCCGAAGGCAGACGCTTAACGACTGAGCCACCCAGGCACCCCCCAAGAGCAGTTTTATGTTTACTTGTACTTTTGTGTACTTTGTTAGACATCTGAAATTAATTTGGGGATCACCAAGGAAAACAATCTATTTTTAAAAATATTAAAAATACAGGGGCACCTGGCTGGCTCAGTAGGTAGAACATGCAACTCTTGATCTCAGGGTCATGAGTTCAAGCCCTACATTGGGGGTGGAGGCTACTTAAAATTAAAATTAAAATTAAAAATATGAATTCAAGGCATCCACGCCAAGAAAAAGTAGAATAAACCATAGTAGTTGTTTTGCTTCCTTGTAGAACGAAATCAGCAAACAAAATTACAGAGGAGAACCATCACCTACCTAGTCAGTGCCTTAGAACCCCATGTCTCTATTGTGAAGACCTCCATCTCTTGAGATGCCCTTGCCTCTGGGTCACAGGAGCTGCTGTAGGATGGCTGAGCTTGGTGCTTATGTGGAAATCAGCAGGTGTATTAGGTGACTCCAAAGAACCATTACCCTGTAACTACAGAATTTTTTAGAAAAGCTAAATGATAATATAATAAGATTAAGGAAATATTTAAACAAATAAGTACATCATCACTTTTCCCAAACTTAATTGTTTTCATTTTTGTGTATTAATTTTCAAGTGTGCTACATTTATTTCTTATAGCTACAACAATAGCATATATGCTATTTAAACATCGGATCCTAAACATCCTCCATGTTTACAGGTAGTTGTCACAATCAATGGCTATATAATATTCCCTTGTATTGATTTACTCTAACATATTAAACCATTCAACTAACTTGAAAATTTATATTCTTTCCCACTTTTTGGGGGCGGGGGGAAGAGTGAGGACAAAAGATTTGTTTTTGTTTTTGGTTTTTGTGTACATCTCTTTTTACTTCTGCTGAATTATTTCCTGCAGAGAAAGACTCGGGAGTAGAATGCTTTATGGCTCTTGTTACATGCTGCCCCATTACTTTCTAAGAAGGTAGTACCAATTTCCAAGGCTGCTAGCAGAGAATGAGCATACAAGTTTTGCCACCATCTTACCAGCACTGGATATGATGAACTGTTTGCACTTTTATTTTAGATGTCAAAATGTATCTTCTAATTGCTATTACTTGGTTACTATCAAGGGATCCTTTTTTCACGTCCTTATTTATTATTTGTCTTTTATATCAAAAACACAGCATCTTGGTATTAAGAGAAAATCTAGGTTTCCTAGCTGAAGGAAAAATCTAGGGTAATCATTTTCCCTAGTCATTAAATTCCATATGAATGATTATTTGTTTTTTATATTTGTTTATTTTTATATATTAAAATCTTGACTTCTTAGATTATCTTT